ACAGGCTCTTATACTGTCTATGGTATGTTAACAAAACTCTCTAAGACTTCTGTAGTTTCTCTACAACGCATCACATCCTACATGAGTTCCCAAGGTTATAACTAACAGTGTAAAATATACAAAGACTTAATGACTTTTGATCCTAACTCAGAACTCAGTTATACACATGCTGCTGGGAAACGTGCTTTATTTCACTGTAGAGGACTGATTCTTTCTCTCTCACTGCAAGAACAGCAAGCATTGCTAGAATGTACCTTCTAATTCAAAAGAAAAAAGGCAGCTATGGCTCAGAAAGAAATGATAACCCCTGCCTTTCCCCCAGCCCGCAATTCATCGTTACCCACTGATAACAATGAGAGGAGAGCACTTGAGCCAATTCCCCAGCTATTTAAAAGCAATGTAGTTCATGAACTGTCCACGGCCGACAAACCGCTGGACAGAAAATCCCACCGATTCTTTCAGTTTCAAGACAACTCAGTGACTAGTGTCAGAAGACTAATGGAAATATATTCAGATGCATTTCTAATTCACAGCAAGTAGTTTAAATATTCTCTGTACCGTATGGAAAATATTCACAGTAGGAAGGAGTCTGGAACAGTTTCTTTACTAGCCTAACACGACCCAGTGGAGCCACACGGTTAGAAACACCCCACTACCCAGTCACCCCAGCTTCTAATTGCTCTGGAAATGTTACTCAGAGTTCTGGAGGACATAGAGTCATGGGAACATTTTGAAACAAGAGGCAAGCCATTGGAGCAGAGAAGGTATAAATCAGACTTGCTGGGCAGATGGCACTGCAAGCTAGCGAGCTGATGGCAGATGGAAGTGAGAGCTTGGATAAGGTAAAAAAAAAATTGGTTGCAAACTAATGAGATCTGTTAAGATGCTAGAGACAACTACTCTCCCTTTCTGATCGCTCTGCTTTAAATGAGGGTCAGATCAACCCCTCCTCCCACAGACATTTACCCAGTTAAAGTTTTCAGAGCCATAAAGAAAGGTAATTTGGTTTCCCTCAAAGAGGGATACCCACAGCAGCCATCCAGAGCGTTACTCAATACTAAATAATTGTAAGATCTGTAATTCAAAAATCCCAGGCTCTCATGAAACTTTTGAATTAACTGGAGATTAGGAGAGGGTTCTTCACTGTGAGGGTGGTGGAGCACTGGAACAGGTTGCCCAGGGAGGTGGTTGAGGCCCCTTCCCTGGAGATATTGACGAGGCCCTGGGCAACCTGGTCTAGTTGGGGGTGTCCCTGCTGACTGCTGGGGGGTCGGACTAGATGACCTTTGGAGGTCCCTTTCGGCCTGGACAATTCTATGATTCTATGTATTCCAGAGCCTTCTACATACCATCTATAAGCCTTCCAGTCTGGCTTCAGGACAACATAATGACTTCTACCTTTTCATGGCAGAGGAGCTTCCAGCAAAGGGGAAGTTTCAAGCCAGGAAGGATCTTTAATGGAAAAATGCTACACAACACATTAACTTTGGTGAGGATTTGGTCTTAGTCCAGACTAGAACTGAGGTTGGCTCAGTGTTGACAAATGCTCCACCTCCTTTCTGCAGCTGACCTACAGTTCTGTTGTTATGGGATAGATAACAACTATTCTGCAGTCATAAGCAGTTCTAGATACTACAAGAAAAAAATGTGTAGCACCTCTTAAGATATTCACTAATATCAATCTCTCTAACCTCTAAATGTTAGAAAAACCTTTCTCTGCCAGTTATATATATATATACACACATACACACACATACACAGAGATTTACCTTTCTTTTGTCAGATCTTCAGGGTTCTTTTTAAAACCAGCATTGCCAAGATTTCAAAGTTTTTTTCTGTTCTGATACAATGGCCCCAGAAGTATTAATAATGTTTCCAGAAGAACGCGATAGAAAATTATCTACTTCAGTAAATGAGACAGTCTCAGACAACGTAGGCTACGTGAGCTTCCAGTAGATAGCAGCTTCCACAAGCTTCTAACATTACTTTTAGAAACTTACGGAGTTTTTCTCCCGAGGTATACTACCAAGGATGAGCCTTTCTTACCACTGTCATGAACTGCAAAGATCTCATGGTCTTATAAACTTCTAAAGCTGCGATTTCTGACAGCTGAGGATTATTTTTATTTGTTTGCATGTACGTAAGAAAAGGGACTGAAGCGGTAAATAAATTAACTTTGTTGAAAGCCTTTGAGAAAACAAAAGTAAAACTGCAGATTTGTGTGGGAAGCTAATAAAGAGGGAACATAGCAATGGCACTGCAATGACACAAAGGATTAACAGTCTCTCAGCAAAACTTGCATTTCCCAAGGTATCATGAAGTTCTTGTACCCTAAACACACATAGAAAAATACCCACATAACATAAGAAAACTGCTACATACCATATAGACACACATAAATTTTTAGGGCCCGTGGTGCTTAAGGCAGATACAGAAATGACATAGGTGAGAATAAGTACTTCTCCCAAAGCAGCGTTCAGAGACCACTGTATTCATACAACTCTATTCATCTGTTCTTAAGATTAGGAAAAAAAAAAAAAAAAGAGAACAGAAATAAAGTCCAGCCATTTAAAGTGTTTGACAGCACATTCCTGAGATTTTCACTACATTGAGATATGCACATGACTGAAAGCTTGCATACTCAAACTGAAAATCCACAGACTCTCACCAATTTTCTATGCAATTTTGATCAAGTCTCTTGACCTTTCCTGGGTCTAATTTCTTCAGATGTAGTCAGGGGCTTATACAAGCTACATTCCCATGGAGATGAGCGATGCTATTTGCTCCTTTTTGATAGGTTTTAGGTCACTGTACCTTCTTCTCATTACAGGGCAAATCTCAATCTCTGGCTACCAGACAAGAATGAAAAATGACACACCACCACCACAAACAAAACCCAAAACAAAAAAAAACCACCACCCCTAACCCCCCAAAAAAACCAAACCAAAAAAACCTCTAAACCTACAGAAGTTGTTACTGAGCAATAACAATCACGGGTTCTTACAGACCCATTCCTGTGCAACAAACAGAAATTTTAGGTATTTTCAGATGCTCCCTTTATTTGCAGCTATCTTGCATCTAGCCACTCTTGCAGCATCTAAACCCCCCCTTCAGCTGCAGAAGAGAGACTGAGATAAGCTGCACATAACTGCAGAATAACAGGAAGTGACTAAAAAAATGCTACAATCGCAATCCTGTGACATATATGATCTGTAAATCTGCATTCTATCAGAAGACACACCTTGAAAAAGAAAAACTAATTCCAACACTGTGACTAGAAATCATTAATTTAATGCAAGTCTCATGATATTTTTCTTAAAACCTCAGCATCCTGAGGCACATTTGGGCCCCTCGTGTCCAGCTCTTGTGGTTACAGAGAAAAGCGCATCTCGACAACCTAAATTTCAGAAAGCTCATCAAAATGATCTGACTGCATTTATATATTCCAATTGTTCTTAAACTAATTTTACAATTTTAGAGGAATGGAGGAAGATGAGCTATTTATTCTAAACATCTGGAGAAGTCACCACTGCTCCTGGTATTCCAATTTAACATAAATATATGTTTTCCCTTGGCAGTTTTATCATATCATTGGAAAAAAAAGTTCTCATTCATACTAAACGGCAATCCCCATCAAGAATTTTGATGGGCTTCTTTCTGATCCAGCTTCTATGGTCTTGTGGCTTTTCTTGGCTTAGCTCCAACTATGCTACCAAGTATGTTCAGATATGACCACATTGATGCATCCACAAACACAGAGAAAAACAAAAGAGAAGTGGGAAGAATAGTATTTTCTGACTATTCATCAAGAATAATTACATGTATCCAAAATGTCACTTTTGTCTTCTTTCTTGTCTGTGAAAAACTTTGACAGACAAATCAACAACATCATAAGGTTACAGATACAGATAACAGCAAACTAACCCACAAAGTTCTTAACAGAAGCACAGAGAAGCTCTTGGATCAAGATGATATGTTTTGGAGCCACATACTTTGCACAGTGTTCTCCCACTGCTCTCAGAAGTGCACAAGCACAGTAGCAATCCTCAATCTATGCAACAGGTGCCTCAGCACTACAACAAACAAGTATGTGAGACAGGGGGAAGTACTGCTCCAAACTCTCCTAGTGCCTGGGGCTGACAGTATCCCAGAACTCACACTGTCACTGTTTGTAAGAAGGCACAGACTCTGCTGTCATCAAAGAACTGATCAAAGAGTCATATTTGAAAAAAAAATAAAAATCTGAACTTTAAATTAATTTGGCTAGTGCCATTGGCAAAATGTCTTGTCTCCCACACACCGTCAACCACAGAGAGACAAGGAGAGAGAGAGAAAGGAAATACACACTAGAAAGACAGATGGGAAGATGAAAGCATTGTGGACTGACACTGATGTTAAAATGCGTCATCTATCCCTGCCCTCAATCAATTATTATCGCCTGGCCAGGACAGATATCCTGAGCTAAAATGGATTCCAGGGTTTCCATATTACTTACCTCATCACCCCCCCTCCACACAATATAAATTCCTACTCTGAATATTTAGTTTGTCATTAAACTAGCAAAACATGATTAAATGTGTAGTGGTAATGAACACATTGACCACACTGAGCTCGGATGGTATCTCAAACACCGCATGTTTAGCTACCCAGACTTTCAAGAAGAGTACATCTCTCATTACCAGTGCAACATAAACATCATCAGCTACACAGGAACAATCATCAAAAGAAACAAAATTAGACAAATCAAATTGTCAGCACAAGTCTCATTATGACCCCAAAAGATTTTTATCCCTGAACATTAACTTTTACCTTTGAAAGATAAAGTCATGGCATTATATAGCACAATAAACCTTATTTCTACACATATTCCTCCATATTTATTTGTTTTTAAGTTTGACACTTTTATGTTTACCCTAACATATCACTGCACCTTGGTCATGACAGCACTCCACAATACATCTCAAGAGCTTATAAGACATTGCAAAGTTTTCCCATCTTACCTGGCTCTGTACAGTTCTTTTCTTCATGTGTCCCATTAGGTGATGCCATCAACCTTCTATTCCTCCATATTTCTGATAAAACACGTCTGTTTGCAATAGTTGATTCTTGGCCTGTATTAAATAGAAAAAGGTTATGCCCACTGTCACTAATTTTTTCCTGCATCATCCTAACGGGACTGCATGCCCCCGCTAGCAACGAGCATGAAGGGACCATCAGGATGTGAAGGGAGCAACATACCGATGTATGTATGGTAGGTCCTCCTAGCTACAAAGGGTGAAAACTAGCTCTGAAGGCAGAGTATCAGAGCTGTTAGCATGTTCCGGCTATCAGAACACCTGGTTGTGACCCACATGGGGAAAATACTCTACAGTAAGCAAATGCTAAAGCCTGCACCTGTGAAACTCAACACTTAGCAGTTCCTATAAATGAAACCAGCCCAGCTATGCTGACATGAGCAACAATCACACTTCCATTTAGTCATTTGCACTTGCACATATTATATTACTGATTTCTCAAAAAATAGAAATGCATACGGTCACATTCCGGCTACATTTTGGGTTATTCTGAGTCTAGGGGCTGATCTTTTCAGTGTTGGGTATACTTGATAATATCAATCCCCACATAATTTGTCAAAGAAAATGGAAAACAACTGCACTGTGAATCTCCACAAATCTTAAAAGAAACAAACTTCCTTAAGAGTCAATGGAGCTTTTGCCTAAACTCGTATTCCAGAAGCATTCTGAATGGAACTGGCTGAGTAGAGTACAGAAGAAGCACTTATGATAATGCAGGGTATGCTATTATAGTAATTAAAGGAAGGATAGAACCTCTTAATTAAATCACTTCCAGCTCAACCTTATTCATTTCAAATGAACATATTACAATGACAAAAATTCTTCTACAGCTGATCTTAGAGTTTATATTCAGTCATCACGTAATGCTTGTGCTCTGTTACAGCGACTCTTGCAAAAAAATCAAGCTTGGAAGTTAGTTTGGCTAGAGTATTTGCTACAATATTCTGACTGCACAATTATAAGAAACATAGAGAACAGATGGTCAGTGTTTATGGATACAATATACTATAAATTAGCCAGCTGAAAAAAAACCTACCTGATGCAGCATACCATCAAAAATTAGGTTATGAGGGATTTAGTTGATAACCCAGGAGATTAAAAACTTTCATTAGTCATGACATTTTTCATGTAAACCTAAAAAAGTTCCGCAAAACTGTTATCTGCAACAAAATAACCCCCTCAAACTATGTAAACGTAATCATACCCCAGTTACATGCTCTCACAAACTAATAAGTTTATGAAAATAAATAGCCGGTGCAAGGAGGGGGGGAGCACAGGCATGACAAACAGCAGTGCTAAATAAAGCAAGCAACAGTATACTCTAAAACCACAATTAAAAAAAAAAAAAATTAAAGTTCTAAGATAAGTAATATGCTAATATGGTCTAAGACCTGGCTTGTTGCCATCCTAGCTATATCTCAAACAACCCAGGCAATAATTTGAACAAAAGAGCATTAGAAAGTATGACAAGTTCCACCAAATTTTTTCTTCCCTGAAGCACACACTTTAACTTCAGCTTTAATTTAAGCAGATGACCCATCCTAATTCAGCCAAAAATCAGATTTTCTTACATTAAACATGGATGTAGGATCTGGGCTTAGTTTGATTTTGTTCTTAAACTCTCAAGGACTGTCGGCAGTCCCACCTAGAGCCCCATCTGCTCTGCCAACAACCTTAGACTTTCTATCTGAGGGATGCAAAGCGTATTGCAGGAAGAGGGCCTGAAGCTCCACACTTACAGCCCAAACTGTGCCAGCAGGCGGGAGGAAAAAAAAAAAAAGAAAAAAAAAAAGAAACCAAATGGGAATGATGCAGTTAGCTATAAACACATCAGTTTACCAACAGGGCACTTGCACAAAGGATGCAACACTCTATATAACATGAGATTAGCACTGTTCCTTGCCTACAATACAGAATTTTCTCTAATTGGGAGGGGGGCGTTGGAGGGAAAAGATGGAGAAAAGAAGCAGTTGTAGCCGGCGGAGGTTTACAACCCAAGGATAAAAATGAAAGGTGGCCCGAAGTTGCAGAGGGGACCACGGGCGGCCGGAGCGGGTTCGGCTCTGATGCCGCGGCGGGGGGGGAACTACTTCAGGGCCGTTCCCAGGCCGGCAGCCGCCCCGATCCCCCTTCGATTCCCGACCCGACGCCCTCCGAGAGGCACGGCGGGCCGTCGCCCGGGCGGGCTCGGTGGCGGGAAGCCCTTGGCCACCGGTCGCCCAGCGATGCCGCTGCCTCCTCTCCGCGAGGCTGCGGCCGTGCACCTGCCCGGCGCTGGGGTTTCTCCTCAGGAACCCAGTCTGCTCCCTCCCGCCTCGCCTGCCCGCCGGGGTATTTCCACCGAGAAACTCAAAACGGGAACGGCTTGAGCCCGCCAACCCCCGGGGCA